CTCTGGTGTGGTTCCAGGCAGACAACACGTCTCCGATTTTGTCAGAAAATGGAAAGGCCAAGGAGCTCCAGTGGGGTATCCGTAAACCTTAAAGACTGCCAGTGCTGCTCATGGCCGTTATAATGCACATTAAAAATTTAAATATTTCACCCAAACAATGCAAATGGCAGCTGCTTTATTCCATACAGATAAAATAGCAACTAAACCCTGGCTTAAACATCAGAACACAAAGAAACCTCTCCATAACTAAAACATAAGGAGGCTTTTTAATTGACCTCTATAGTCGGTTGATGAAACAAAAAATAAATTCACAATGATAAATGAGGGAAAGATTGATTTTTCTTTCAAAAATTAGGTCAATGCTTAACATGTTTGAGTACTTCAGGGTTCAAAGGCTAGCATGTGATCCCACTGAAAATTGTACTTTGAACGCAGCACATCGTTCTGCATCTTTTGTCCAGCTCTTTAAGATAGAGGACGCCTCTGGAAACACAAGAACATGATTTTCATTTTTGGGCATTTGTAAATTAAAACTGAGCATTAACCTTGACTGAAAATGTAGCCTCACCAGCCAGGGCTGCGGAGAATGTAAAATCCCACTCAATAAAATATCAGGAACATTTAAAAAGAAATATAAAATGCCACAGTTCTGCAACGGTAATTTGTGCATGTGAGTCATAAGAGACACTAGAGAAAAAAAACAAATTAAGGTGAAAATTCCCTCATGTCTATTTTCAAACATGCTTTATTCTTTTATGAAATAACATAAAAGCCACGTAATATCTCGTCTTTCATTTGTCAGTCCTGCTTTGCCAGACAAATGACACCGTTACTGAGAATCTGCAGTGTTGCTTTTTCTTGTTTTCTTTTCAAAATCATCTGCGTATCTATGCGTGCAAGTAGCTATGGGCCTTTGCCTAATTCCCTTCACATCGTCAAGAAAAAACAGTCGGAGCATTGCTCATTTGCAAAACCTTAAATCGGTTCACTTCAGAAATATTCATCAAAGTCACTGGCTTTGCCAGCTCTTTCTAGTTAACCACTTAAAGCAGAAAAAAA